GGCTAATGCATGGCCAGGAGGGGACCATGTCCATGTTTTCAGGGCCAACTTAAAAGGGAACAAGTCATCCAATGATTCATTCCCCCACTTTGGCTGCTAAAGATTCAGAGCTCAGGGTGGTGGTTCAGCCATGGTTGCTTTCTTCCGTCAGCCACCGACTCAGGAGCTCCTCTACCTGGGAGCTGTCGACTCAGGCATCCCTGGACATGAGGAAGTGTTTGGCCCATGTGGCCAGCCCACTTTTAGGATCTGAAAAACACCTCTCAGTAGGAAACTGGAGGCCTTCTGCTGCATCCTCTCTGAGAGCGAGATCAAGCCAGATGCCCATGGCTGTCGCGGCTTTTCAAAAAGAAAGTGTTCTATTTAGAAGAGCCCTGGCCTAGGAGGTTTCAAAACTGAGTGCTGTGCATGGCTGGTGGGAATGTAAAATGGTGCGATCGCTGTGCAAACAGGATGGTGGCTCCTCAAAAGATTAGGGGCGCCTGGCTGGCTCAGTTGGCAGAGCACATGACTGTTGATCAGGGGGTCATAAGTTCGAGCCCCACCTCGGGTGGAGAGTTTACTTAAAAAAACAAATAAATAAAATTGTTAAAAAAAGATTCAATATTTGACTTGTTTACCAAACTACTGTATGATCCAGCAATTCCACTTCTGAGCACATGTGCAGAAGAACTGAGAGCAAGGACTCAAACAGGTATTTGCACACCCATGTTCACTGCAGTGCTAATGTCAAGCCAAATGTCAAGGATGGATCAATAAAATGTGGTCTATACATACAGTGGACTGTTACTCAGCCTTAACAAGGAAGGAAACCCTGAGGCACGCTACCACATGGATGAACCCCGAAGACACCACACTCAATGCAATAAGCCAGATGCAAAAGAACACATGCTGTATGGTTCCACTTACACGAGGCCCCCAGAGTCGTCAAAGTGACAGACACAGAAAGTGAACGGGCGGAGGGGACCAGGGGCTGGGGGAGGGGGGAGGGCAGCCCGTGTTTAATGGGAACGGTCTCAGTTTTGGATGGTGGTGCTGGTTATACAACAAGGTAAACATACTGAATGCCACGGAACGGTACACTCGTAAACAGTTAAAATGGTAAATTTTATGTATATTTTATCACCCAAAAAGAAAAAAGAAATGAATGCTGTGTCACCCAACTGCTCCTGCAGCTGAGCTGCAAGAACCACGAACTCTTGAGTGACATTTGTTTGTTGAACAAACTGAAAACTCTTTCCTCACCAGAGAACAAAGGGACTCCTTTTAATAAATCCTGAAGGGGGGCGCCTGGGTGGCTCAGTTGGTTAAGCGACTGCCTTCGGCTCAGGTCATGATCCTGGAGTCCCGGGATCGAGTCCCGCATCGGGCTCCCTGCTCGGCAGGGAGTCTGCTTCTCCCTCTGACCCTCCCCCCTCTCATGCTCTCTCTCTCTCATTCTCTCTCTCTCAAATAAATAAATAAAATCTTTAAAAAAAAAAAAAAGTTTAACCTGAATCTCATGAGGAAGCAGTCAGACAAATTCAAATTAAGAAACAGTCTGTGGGCGACTGGGTGGCTCAGTTGGTTAAGCGACTGCCTTCGGCTCGGGTCATGATCCTGGAGTCCTGGGATCGAGTCCCGCATCGGGCTCCCTGCTCGGTGGGGGGTCTGCTTCTCCCTCTGACCCTCCCCCCTCTCATGCTCTCTATCTCATTCTCTCTCTCAAATAAATAAATAAAATCTTTAAAAAATAAATAAATAAATAAATCCTGAAGGAACCCAGGGACTCAGCCCAGCCTCTCCTGAGTGTGAGATTTTGGTGGTGGTTTTGTTTTTGTTTTTGTTTTTTTTTAAAGAGAGAGAGAGAGAGAACTCGTGAGCGAGCAGGGGTCGGGGGAAGGGGCAGAGGGAGAGAAAGAATCCCAAACAGGCTCCACGCTCAGCATGGAGCCCAACACAGGGCTCGATCTCACCATCCTGAGATCACAACCTGAGCGAAACCAAGGGTCCAATGTTTAACCGACTCAGCCACCCAGGCAACCCTGAGTGTGTTTTTAACCCTTAATTAGCAAAATAGCCACCTGAACTGAGTCCACCTTCTAGCGCTTAAAAACTCCTGATTTCCTCTTTACCCGCTCCTGGCTGTTGGAGAGCTGCCAAGACTGGGACCTGGGTGTGGGTCAGGGAGGGCCACCCCGATGCTGTCTTGCTCTGGACAGCCTCTATCCAGGCACTGTGCTTCTCCAGCAGGACAAGCCGGTATTTCCAGGGAAGTTTCATTGTTTGGGGTGTGTTTTTTAGGAAACCAGAAACCCAAGTAAACCTAATAGATACACAGACAGAGAGACACAGATATACAGAGTCTATAATATATATACATATTTATATTACATATACAACACATATGAGTAAACACTGAATAAAAATGATGTATACTAAAAAAAAGGATGAGAAATATTCTCCAGCTATAAAATAAGTATCTCAAGAAAACTCATAAATCTGGAAGGAAAAAATGGCCATGTTTTCAAAATCACTTCGAAAAGTGCTAAACAGAAAGGAAAAGCTAGGATTAAACCAGAAATAAGCCTTCCTTCCTTATTTTCCTCAAGAATGACACTATTTTAAAAGCATTCCTTGAGCTATAATCAAGATATAATAGTTTGGACCTCACTGTCTGCATTGGCTCGGCAGGCTGACCTTAAAATAATAAAAAAATCTATAAAACATAAGTTTGAGAAAGGAAGGTTGGAAGCACATCCAAGCTTCGTTAATAGAGACCAGGAGGTATCTCGCTTTGCTTCACCCATGAGAATGTCTGCACTGCACTTTTACTTTGACATCATGCTATCTGGAGGACTCAGCACGATGCAGACTGGGTCTGTGTAAGAAACAGGGTTACAAATTCCAAAAAGGCAGACCACGGACTCAGAAAGTACTTTAATACACTTAAAAAATGGTTAAGATAAATTGTATGTTAAGTATATCTTATCACAATCGAAAAATTTTTAAAGAGAAATTAAACAATATGGGAAGGGGGTGAGTTACGTTTGATTTTCAGAAGTTCCTAGAAGAGCGCGCCCAGACCTGCTCTTTGCGGTGATAAGACTGACTTCGGAATGCCAGATGCTTGTCTATAAAGAAACACAAGCAAGCCAATTTAAAAGCAGGGCTCGCATCAAGCAAATGGTAAAATACCAGCAGGTTTTCCTTCTGGAAGTTGGTCATCTTTAAAAGGCTGTTCGTTTCATGCCACAAAACCGAAGCCGTACCGTGAGTAAGGCTGGCCAGGTGGCACAAGCTTGAACACTCATTAAATCCCTGCCAAGGGACACCAACGGTGCCCTTCAGACAGAAGGAAAACAGGACAGACACGAATAACCAACTGGCCAGGACTTCCCACACGAAAGCAGGCCAAGTCCTGCAGGCGGAGATGGTGAAGAGCGTCATGTCCCACTGGAAATGGCAGTGACTCGGCCACCGTGCCAGCTTGGGAGGACGGGGCGGGGACGGCAAGAGACAGGAGCAGCAACGGGGCCCTAACAGGCAGGACAGGCGATGGGGATTTCACAGAGAACCCATGAAGTCTGCTCCTGTTTAACTGGGGCACTGAGTGACACCCACCCATTCCCCCTGGAAATGAGCGCTTGCTTCTTAAGAAGGTCCCAGACTGACACACGGCTCTGTGGCGCCGTCGCATCCGCGGCCCGCTGAGCGCAAACCTGCCGAGCCGTGCCCCGGCCGAGCGGTCACCTCTTGCCTTCCAACACCCACCCCCCGCCGCCACGACCTCGGCTTGCAGAGAAGGTGATAGCAGGGCGCAGCCTTCTCCGCTTCACCCGACCTTCCACATGAGGTGGAGACGCATCAGGATACATGTTTTGCTTTTAAAAATGTCTTACAATTATTTTTATTCCTTTCGAATCGGCTCTATCTTACTGCCGGAGCTAATACTAACTCACACTTTCTTACCGTGCTGCCTGCTAGGAGCCCCACCGAAGGCGGAGCACACACACCGGGGGAGGCTTTACAAGCGCGGCCCGGGGGCGAAGGCGGTGGCTACCCCAGGCCGGGCCAGGGCAGCGACAGCAGGGGGACCCACAGCCGCCACCGACCGCACGTCTGCGGGCACGACGGCCCCGACACCACAAGCCCTGGGCCGACGCCTCTGAGGCGCCGTCTGCGAAACTCCTTTTTCTCAGCTGAACCAGAGTTGGCTCTGCTGTGGAGGGAACGCATTGCTGGTCTAACTCATGACAAAGCGAGGCAGGGGCAGGGGACGTGTCGTGGAGAGCACAGTGCTGCAGCTGGGGCCACCCTTCCTCCGCTGCCCAGCCCAGCACAGGTTCCCTGAGCACGGGGACCTGGTTGGGCAGGCGAGGCTCGAAAGGAGCTGAAACATCCCGGGTGTTCACACCATTCCCACTTCCCCAGGGCATCCGATTCACAAGGATTGCACGCCTCTGTACCCGTCTGACACGAACACCGGGTCCCGGCTCTCGGTTGAGAGGACTTGGGAATCTCCACACTGGGTCAGGAAACTCCTTCTTAGAACATGACAGGGTGGGGCGCCTGGGTGGCCCAGTCGTTAAGCGTCTGCCTTCGGCTCAGGTCATGATCCCAGGGTCCTGGGATCGAGCCCCGCATCGGACTCCCTGCTCCGCGGAAGCCTGCTTCTCCCTCTGCCACTCCCCCTGCTTGTGTTCCCTCTCTCGCTGCGTGTCTCTCTGTTAATTAAATAAATAATATCTTTAAAAAAAAACAGAAACAAAACATGACAGGGCATCTGGGTGGCTTAACCCAGGTTAAGCGTCTGACTCTTGATTTTGGCTCAGGTCAAGATCTCAGGGTTGTGGGAATGAGCCCTGTGTTGGAATCCGCGCTGGGTGTGGAGTCTGCTTGGATTCTCCTCTCTCTCTCTCTCTCCCCCCTTGCCCCTTCCCTCTCTCTTAAAAACAAAATACCCAAACAAACCCCAAACAAACCACAACATAGCATTGCTACTTTGGCAAGCTGCAATACACATGTCCAAATATTGCTCTTTATTTTTCCCCTTGTGAGTTTATTACAACATCTATTGTAGAAACCACTCCCTCTCACCACTAATAACAATCTTCCCTGTCTTCCCACACAGAAACTTTAGATGGCTAGCGGTAATGCCTTCCATGTTTCCAGCCTTACATCTTACCCTTTTCCCACTGCAGTGCAGGTCCTGAGCCCGCGCTCCCAGCCATGTACCTGTACGTGGGCTCTGCAGCCGTGCCGGCTGAGCTGAACAGTGTACGCTGAACGAGGAAGCCTCAAGCAAGCCTGAGCTTCCCTCAGTGTCCTCACCAGTAAAAGGGGTTGAACAGCACCAACTGCGGAGGATTATAGGTTTGAGAAAGAATGAGTGACAAGCTTGTAACAGGGGCTCACTAAAGGGAATCATTCTATTTTGGGGGCTATGAGCCAAGAGGCTGGAATGACGGACAAGGGCGGGAGGAGGTCAAGGCAGCAGAGTTCGATAGTGAACCACATTAAAGGAAATGAACATGTGGGGCAAACGTGCCCTTCAGGACTAAACACTGACACATACGTGATGCAGAGAATACGAAAATACTTAAGAACTTATAACCGCAAACCAGAAGATCTCATAAAAGTGAGAGTATCATTAAGATACTAAATGACTCGCTGTCTGGACACACCTTCTTTTCTGCTGTTTAAATGTATTTTAACCCACATACAAAAGATATATTTAACAAACAAACCAAAAGCCTATTATATGGAAACCAACTTGTTAAAGTCAGAGCCAGAAAAGCAGCAAGAATATCTTGGGGAAAAGGTCTCATTACAAATCCCAAACAGGCTTCAGTCCCAAAAGTTCTACTGGTAGAACTCAATATTCTTTAAAATTCACACCCAGAAAAACAGAACTGGCACACTCAAATAAGACTAAATGTTATCTCCTCCTGCGCAGAGCAGGTTTCTTGAGATCTCCAGAGCCACACTTTCCAATCCTCGGTGTCGTAGCAAAGTGGGTTCAGAATGGCTGTGTGGAGCTCAGGACGCATCCTCCCCGAGTGCTCTGGTTCTGCCAGTCCGGAGCCTCAGGTGCCGCACTGGGAGCTGGGATCATGTGACCTGCACGTACAGCAAGGAACTAATTCAGAGTCGTAGCTGGGAGGTGAAGAACACACTTCAACACTGCTCTGCCTGTTCACTCTGATCTGAATCCATCCGGGTCCCGGAGATAAGCTTTCTGCATAGAAGCAGGGAGCAGTTAAAGAACAATGATGGGAGGAAGAAGGCTGCTAACAAGGCACCCGGGAATGGTGACTGAGGCATGAAAACCTGGCTCTCTCCAGATCCCTTCAAGCCCAAGCTGGCTCCGCTTTCCAGAACCCAACCGCTATAAAACTGCCCGGGCCACCCAGAACCAAGACGCTGAACACAAGGCGAGCATAAAGCAGGTGCTGAAGGAACACTACCTCCTCAGAAACACAACAGGGCTTGTGCAGTGAGGATGAAACCAGGGTGGGGAGACAAAATCCTCCGCAGTTTCTCTGTACATATCTTGATTCCAGCCAGAACCATGCCAATGCAGATGGTGAGGGTGCCAATCAGCATGGCACATGCTGCATCTTTTAAGGACAAACACCTTTACTGTTGAGAAACAAGTGTCCCTGCTTCTGCCCACAGAGGAAACGGGTTCCTGTGGGTTAAGGATGGTCTGACATTGTAGAGTCAGTTACCCAGCATTGGGCTGTAAAGCATAGCTCACCCAACTATACAAAATCGAAACAAAGAAATGTATCCCCTCACAACCAAAAGTCTAGAGCAGCGGTTTTCAAACTGGGGTAGTTTTGCCCCTGGGGGACATCAGTCAATGTCTGGAGGCATTTCTGGCTGTTACAATGGGGGTTGGCATCTAGCGAACAAAGGCCAAGATGCTGATGAACATCCTAGAATGCACAGGACAGCACGCCCTGCCCTATCACGGAAGGTCAACGGTGCCAAGGCCAAGCAACTGGTCTGGGGGAGCACATTCCTATATTTGGCTAATGTAAGGGCTCAGTGACATCCTAAAAGGACGAGCCTTTTCGTGCTTACATGCTCCTCATGGTGAGTTGATTTATCCTCGGCCTTTCCCTGCTGTGGCCTCAGATGTCTGCCGCACATCAGGCATTACATTCTCCCGCAATTAAAGAGAGGAACAAAAAAAGTCAAGTGTTTGTTCCTTTCCTGTCTCTCTGTATTAGAGGAAACCCTTTCCAGAAGCCAGCTGGCCACAACTCATAGGTCAGGAAAGGTCACATGCTCATGTCTGAATCAATCTCTGCCAAGGAAAACGGAATTACTAGGAAGAAGTCCTGGAACAGTAACACTGACTGCTGAGGCTGGGAGATGGGCGCTCCTACCCTGCAGCGCTTCGCCACCTGACCCCTAGACATAACTGAGAAGGCGGAGGGTGAACAGCGGGGTAGACAACCAGCACGTGCATCTCAACCTCAGAAGAAGTGGTGAGCCTGAACGCGAACCCGAGAGCTCTCTCCTTCCTTCATTCCACAACATCTGAATTATCGTACTTTCCAGCAGATTTGCTTCCGAGGCCGATCTCAGGCATCGGGAAAATCAGTTTGAGTACCATCATCACCAAAAACACAAGAATAAAATGTTAAGGCAGAACTGTGTGGCTTTGAGAAAAGCAATTCAACACTTTACCAACCGATCAGGTAATGAAATGGCATACTTTCTGGCCATATAAAGATAAGCAGTCATTTAAATTAGTAAATAAAGACTAAACTGATGTTTCAGGGGACCGCAATCCGATGGGCCTGCAGGTCTGAGATAATCATTGAGACAGGAGGCGCCCCCATCAAAATCAGTGCGCAGCAGGTGGGGGCAGGGACTGCAACGTCCATCCGAATCATGCTCCCCGCTTCTGTGGTAAAAGTGGTAGCCAGGCCCTGGTTGCTCCACCAGAGAATATTTTTCCCCTTTGAAGATATGAGTGGAGGGAATGTGTGCCATTAAGATCTATGCATGCTCCTATATGGGCAGCAAACAGAGCAACTCTGGAAGCCATGTGTTAAAAATGGCAGAGTCCCAGGCTTGAGTCTCTGGAATAACCATGGGGAAGAGAGCTGCCCAATCTGGAACACCATGCTGAACTGACAGAGGAGAGAGAAACTTCTATCTTACTGGTGGCCCTGGGTTTTTGGATGGCTTTGCTACAGCAGCTGACATCACTGTAACTAATACACTGCAAGTACCATCATTACTGAACACTGTTCCAGAAAATGCTAGCAAAATACCAGGAAAAAAAAACACAACAAATTCAGTATTGGTTGATGATATGCACGCTTGTCTAGCCACAGAACTCAAAACCATTAGGTGAAAAAAAAATTAGAAATAAATTCATGAAGATGGCCAGTTTCTAAATTCTGTAACTTAATCGTTTTCTACACACCAACAACCAGTTAAAACATAGCGTGGGAAATAAACCCATTCACAGCAGCAAAATACATGCATAGAATATCCAATGTATTTAGAAAACCGGAAGGACTTACGTAAGAAAAATGACTCAATTCTTTGGGACAAAGTGAATACCTTTTCCCCAATGAAGAGAATGACCACATTTCCATGTGGGAGGGCCAACTGCATACAGATGTCTCTTCTTCCCCAAACATGCTGTCCTTGTTACCTCACGCCAATCAACACCCCCCCAAGATGTAACTTCACAAATGATTCTAAAGTTCATTGGAGGAAAACAGCCTGGCAACAGTAGAAAGACTCTGAAACAGAGGAGGGTTAGGTCGGTGTAGAGAACCCAGTCCTGGGGACAGACACACTCTGAAGCGCAGCCGTGTAAGGGCCGTGGTGTCAGTGCAGACGACGAGCAGATTGCAGACGCGTGTGACCAAGGGGTTAGCTCTATGCCCACGGACACAGCTTCTCCACCTCTGGCGATGCGCATTGGCAACATCAGCCACGTGCACGAAGACGTTCACGAGAGCTTCATTTAGAATCAGGAAAATCCGGAAGCAAACCAGTCCAGCAGTAAGGGCTTCCAGACCTCGCCCCCTTCCATACAACCCCGCCCCCCATTTTGTCTCCCCCACATCCAAGACTAGAGGTATATATGACTGTTCAACTAGGCTTTTTTGCCCGTTTTATCATGAGCCTCTTTCACACGGGTAACGACACACCTCCCTCACTTGGATGGTTGCATACGTCATCCTACTTTTTTCCTACTCCATACAATAAAGTAGTGTAGATTCTTATGGTTATCTTTGTATTGTATTTCTATAAGATTAACACAAATTTACAGTGATCACGTACTAACTCTCTAATTGGTAGTCATTTATTTTTATTTTTTTAAAGATTTTATTTGAGAGACAGAGAGCGAGAGAGTGCAGGAGCTGGGGCAAGAGGGAGAAGCAGGCTCCCCACTGAGCAGGGAGCCCGACATGGGGCTCAATCCCAGGGTCCTGGGATCGTGACCTGAGCCGAAGGCAGATGCTTAACCGACTGAGCCACCCAGGCGCCCCTCTAACTGGTGGTCATTTAAATGCGAAATGCAAAAGCCACAAGGAGCTACTACTACACTCCCACTAAAATGGCTAAAATAAAGACTGGCCATGCTGAGCATTGGCAAGAATATGGAATAACTGGAGTTCCTGTACACTGCTGGAGGGGTATAAAATGATACAACCACTTTGGAAAACGATTTGCCAGTTTTTTAAAAAGTTGAATATGTATCTACTGGAAGAAATCCAAAATGTCCATTAATAGGGAAATGGACAAATGAGTGGTATACATCCATGGCATCCTACTCAGCAGTAAAAAGGGATGAACTGTCCATCTACACAATCACCTGGCTGACTCTCAAACTGGTTTGCCAAGTGAAAGACGCCAGACCAAGGAGTAAAGGGTATATACCATATGATTCTGTTTATATAAAATTTTAGAAAATGCAAACTAGCAGATCAGTGCTGCCTGGAGACAGGGGCAGAGAGGGACGGGGGGAGGCAAGGAGGGGAGGAAACATCTGGGGGTGATAGATACATGCCCATTATCTTCGAGGGATGATGGTTTCACAGGGATATACACATGTCAAAACTCATCAAATTATATACTTCAAGTATATGTAGTTTATTGCATGTCAGCAAAGCCATAAAAAAGAAAAAGGAAAAAGGAAAAGACTATTTAAAAAAAGATAAATAAATGGGAATGCCTGTATTTGGCTCACATACAAGCCTGAACACAGGCGTTCACGTTCAATCAGCTGTCCTTTTTGAAAAATAGCCAAGTTTAACCTAATTTCTACTGTAACAAAAATATCACAGAGTAGGTGGCTCAAACAACAGAAACTTATTTCTTACAGCTCTGGAGGCTAGAAGTCCTAGATCAAGGTGCTAACTCGGTTCTCCGGCCACCTTCTCACTGTGTGCTCACCACATGGAGGAGAGACATGTCTCATGTCTCGCTCTCTCCCTCTTTTTATAAGGCCACTAACCTATTGGATTAGGGCCCCACCCTAATGAATGACCTCATTTAATCTTAATTACTTCCTGAAGATGTATCTCCAGATACAGTCACACTGAGGCTTAGGCCTCCAACACACGAGTTTGGTGGGGATGGGGGAGACATAATTCAGTCCATAGCACCTTCCTTACCATGGCCCGATGTGAAATTTCTAGTTCCATAACTTTCTTGACAGAATTTATAAAACATAAGCAGACAACAAGCTCTTTCCTTATCCATAAACTCAATTCTGCTAGATGAGCTTTTTCTCCCCCCAGATGTGCTTTTGCTATTAGATTACTGGGGGAACAACTCACCTGCCCAGATCTGGACTATTTCCACCCCTCCAGCAGATCTCAAAGAACAGCAAAAATATCCTCTATTGACATGCAAAATATATACACTACCCTCGCTGTAAATTACTGAAAGTATATCAGTCTCCTGAATTCAGCAGAGGAATGTTCCTTCCAAAAGGACCGTGTCAGCTGCTTGAGGCAGCTCCCACAAGCCCGAATCAGCGACCCCCTTGCCGATTCTCAGCTCCTTCCGGAGAACGTGGGACAGGGTAAAGAGCAATAATGCCGTCTGAGCCCGACGCGTCACCTACCAAGAGGAGGAGGACAGAAGGGCAAGGGACTTGGCAGCCTCTGCCACAGTAGGATGGGGAGTTCTACTGGACTTTCTATTAGCTACGTCTTCTAACTTCTGGTGCCAAGGACATCAGCACACTGCTAGAAGCAAACGGGCCTGGTGTTTACCACCGTCCTGCAAAGAAACAGTTCTACTTTGCTGACACGTGAAGAATCAGTAATTGCCACAGACAACCTTCCAATTTGGTCTCTTCCCAGAAGGCATTCAGGCCACATCCTTCTAGAAGGACCCTAACACCACACGTACCTGCTTCTACCCTTGGGTCACTGCCATATGTGGCAGCAGAAGATCGCTGGGAAACAACTAGAACAACTGCCCCAAACTGAGGTATCACTCTAACAAAATGGCCCTCTAGGGCGCCTGGGTGGCTCAGTCATTAAGTGTCTGCCTTCGGCTCTTGGTCCTGGGATCGAGCCCCGCGTCGGTCTCCCTGCTCAGCGGGAAGCCTGCTTCTCCCTCTCCCTCTGCCTGCCTGCCGCTCCCCCTGCTTATGCTCTCTCTCTCTCACTATCTCTGTCTCTGTGTCAAATAAAAATAAAATCTTAAAAAAAAAAAATGGCCCCTCACAGTGAGGTGACAAGAAGGAACCAGGCATCACAGGCTCAGAGCTGCAATTCATCAACAGTGAAGGCTGGGAGGGGCTCAGGTCCTGCCCCAGGTCACCGGCTGGACGGAGTCTGGTCCAGGGGGATCAGGAGCAGTGATTTCAATCGCATCTCACGGGGCGCCTGGGTGGCTCAGTTGGTGAAGCATCTGCCTTTGGCTCAGGTCATGATCCTGAGGTCCTGGGATTGAGCCCTGCATCGGGCTCCCTGCTCCATGGGGAGCCTGCTTCTCCCTCTCCCTCTGCCTGCCACTCCCCCTGCTGTGCTCTCTTGCTCTCTCTCTCTGGCAAATAAATAAGTAAAATCTTAAAAAAAATAAAAAATAAATCTCATCTCATGGGAAAGAGGAAGAGGCTGGGGAGGAGGACATAAGGAGACATATGGGAAAGGCCAATTGGAAGGACAACACCCCCCCCCAAAAGATACCCCACAACAAAGCCCCTACGAGAAAGCTGGTGCAGAGCTTGTGAGGTAAAGTCAGATGGGACACGAATCATTGGTGTTATGGTCTGAATGTTTGCGTCCTGCAGTATGATAGCACTGGGGGAAGGGGGAGGTTGGGGGGACAATTAGGTCATGACAATTAGGTCATGACGGTGGAGCCCTCACGATTGGGATTAGTGCCCTTATAAAAGGGACCTCACAGTGCTCCCTGGCCCCTTCCGCCATGTGAGGACACAATGGAACAACTATCTGTGAACCAGGAAGTAGCCCGCACCAGACCCTGACTCTGCCAGTGCCCTGATCTTGAACCCCAGCCTCCAGAACCGTGAGAGAGGAAGGCCTGCTATTCCGAATCCGGTCTTGGGTGTTTCGTTACAGCAGTCCACACAAACTGAGACAGTCGGGAAGTTCTTGGTACGCATCCAGTCACCACACGTGCCAGCAGTGAAGTTCTTCATGATGTTGCAGGGCAGTAAAAATAAGATCAAAGAAGTAACACTCTACCATTCCATAAGGGGTGTGATGGAAAACCATCTGGGATTCCATCAGAAATAAGCTTTTTGAAAGAACTGGTATATGGAGAGACAATCTGCACTTCATTGTCAGACCCTGTTACAGGCTAAATTGTGTCCCCCAAACTCCTATGTTGAAACCCTCACGCCCAGTACCTTACAATGTGACTATTTGGAGACAGGGCCTTTGGAAAGGCAATTAAGGTAAAATGTCTAGATGATGTCCAATATGACTGATGTCCTTGTAAGAGGAGATTAAGACCTAGACATGCACAGTGGAGAGACCATATGAGGACACAGGGAGAAGGTGGCCACCTACAAGACAAGGAGAGAGGCCTCAGAAGAAACCAAATCTGCTGGCACCTTGATCTTGGACTTCCAGCCTCCAGAACTGTGCAAAAGTTAATTTCTGTTAAGTCGCCGAGTGTGTGGGATTTTGCTATGACGGCTTAGCTGACTAATACAGACCTCAGACTAAAGAAGCTTTATCTGAACTAATAATACTATCTAACAGAGAAAAGTAGTTGATAGGGTTAGGGTAAGAATCAGAATCCAGCTCAGACTCATGGAGTTTCCAGGTACAGAGGTCCCGAAGCTGATCAGTTCAGCTGTAGACCAGAACAGTTCACCTGGTCTCCCATCTCCAGCCCACGTTCTTCCGGAAACAATGCAGCGCTAACTCTGAAATGCCACAAGGAGGCTCTGCGTTAACAAGGAGGTACTGTCCTTAAGCGCTAAGACTTGAGAAGCTGAAACTAACAATATCCAGCACCTCCTATTTCTCTTGCTATTCATGTCACCTGCTTTCTGGCCATTTCATGAAACAGCAGGGTGCTGAAAAAAAGCAGCAAAAAAAATGGTGCTTCGTTAAGGACCATTATGACGTTTTTTAAAAAGGAGTTTCAAAGATCAGGTTTTTTGTTTTTTGTTTTTATTTTAAAGATTTTATTTATTTAGCGGCACCTGGGTGGCTCAGTCGTTAAGCGTCTCCCACTACCCTTGCTTGTGTTCCCTCTCTCGCTGTCTCTCTCTCTGTCAAATAAATAAATAAAACCTTAAAAAAAAAAGATTTTATTTATTTATTTGACAGAGAGAAAGCACAAATGTGGGGGGAGCAGAGGGAGAGGAAGAAGCAGGCTCCCTGCTGAGCAGGGAGCCCAACACAGGGCTCAATCTCAGGACCCCGGGACCATGACCTGAGCCAAAGGCAGACGTTTTAACGACTGAGCCACCCAGGTGCCCCAAAGATAAAGTTTTTAAATGCACAGAGTTTATTCATTTCTGCTATCCTCTGGTTTTTAAATGCACAGAGTTTATTCATTTCTACTATGCTCCGTTTCCATAATCAAAGTTGTAACCCAGGCTTGGCAAGTGGTTGGGTTTGCCAGGGCTCAATTTGTACTTAATTAAAATTTATCTAAAAATAATCAGTGAAAGATGATGGCTTGAAGTCTCAGATAAACAATTAAGCAAAAATTACCCTATTCATGTTGCTATACCTGAAAGCCATAAAAGGTAAACTTTTCTCTAATACATGAAATTCAGAAGATGATACCGAAAATTTAAAAACTGATATAATTAGAACTCATAGTGTAACAAACCAAGACCTCTTGGGGCCCAATTTTCTCATCCAAGAGTTGAGCTAGATGAGCCTTCCGTTCTTGTCTATGATTAATGTTTTATTACCAACAATCACCTACCTTAATTAAAAAGCATCTTGACCTAACCTTACTATTAACCTACAATAGTGTTTCTATTCACACTATAAAGGTCTTTTACTAATTCGTCACTAATTTACTCACTGAATTTCTGTGTACATGTATAAGTCCAAGCAATCTGACCACTGCCAAAGCCTTAACCTCCTTATTCACATCAACTCTCATCAGGTTCCCTGAATGCAGAAGCTGTGAGTCTCCCAGGAGATAAGTGAATGCCGACACTGACTGGGGCTTGCTCCATCCAGCACCTTCCCAAATTCTCTGCCCCAGTACCTCTGATCTAGCTGCAAAAGCTGCCCACTGCCACCGCAGCAGGCTCCCACGCTCAGGCTCACTGCCCATGCATCAGCCAGAGGGATGCTTCCAGCAGGTAACGAAGGCAGCGGGCACCTTGCTCAGTGGTCCTTCCTCCCTTGTGGAACAAGACTGTGTGATTTGCCCTGGCTACCTCTCCTCCCTTGGCTCCTATCACCGCTCCACCCCAACCACACCCGCCCCCTACTGTACCTTGGACACAGGCCCACACCCCAGATGGTCTCCCCGCCAGCTCGCTCACTGCATCCAGGCCTCTGCTCAAATCTCAAATGTCATGTTATCAGAGCCATTCCTGTCTGAACTAATACCCGACCTTCCTTCCTCCCTACCCTAGTTCCCTTGCCTGCTTTATTTTTCCTTAGCATCCAGCAGCTGATATCACATATTTATTCATTGTCTGTCTTCTGCCAACAAAGCCTTATGAACTTGTGTTCAATGCCGTATCCCCAGCACCCAGGTGTTCAATATATCTTGGTCCTACCACTGTATCAGTTTGCCAGGCTGCGGTAACATGGCACCACATGTTGGACGGCTTAAACAACAGAAACAGATTGTTTCTCAGCTCTGGAGGCCGGAAGTCCAAGATCAAGGTGTCAGCTGGTTGGTTCCTTCTGGGGGCTGCGAGGGAGAATACATTCCAGACTGCTCTTCTTGCCTCTGGTAGTTTGCCGGCAATCTCACCTGTTGCTAGCCTTATAATCGCATCAGCCAGATCTCTGCCTTCCTCTTCACATGGCGTTGTCCCTCTATGCACATCTGTGTCTGTGTCCAAACTGCCCCTTTTTATGAGGACTCCAGTCAGAGTGGATCAGGCCCATCCTAATGACTTCACTTTAACTCGATTAGCTCTGTAAAGACCCGATCTCCAAATAAGGTCACACTCTGAGACACTGGGGGTTAGGACATCAATATATTTTTTTTTGGAGGACACAACTCAACCCCTAACAACCACTTAGCAGCCATGCGACATCAGGCAAGTTAGTTAACCTTCGTCAGTAAAATGAGTCTTAGTAATTCACTGTACCTGCTTCATCTGGATAGTGAAGACGGTGCCCCTGACATCAAAAAGGTGTATTCCTGTCCCTTTATGTGAGACACACAGATAGTGACATGAAAAAAGCTCAAGAGCATGGGCTTGGCAGCCAGGCAGCCGGGGTTTGAGCCCTCTCTGCACTTGCTGGCTCTCATCTTGCAGAAGTTGCTTAGTCTGAGACCAATCTCCAGATATGCTGCAATATAAAATAATGCACATCAAGTCCTTAGCACATGGTATGCTCTCTCGGAATGTCAGCTGTCAGAGGCAGGGCTGAGGCAAAGATCGACAGTGTCACCTCATCCCACCGATGTCTTGCAAATTTTTTCGGTCATCATTTAATCATACATAGCAACAGAAAACAGGAAGCTCGAGCACAGAAAACACAGTAGTGCCATTACACAGGATTGGGTACCGACTATAACAAAAATTTGTTTTTTTAAACTTTTATTCAGTATCACTCATATCCAAATGCCTACAGACATCAGACGGGAACATCGACCAGACACCTCAAACTGGCCAGTCCCAAAGTGAACCCTTGGTCTCCCTGCCCACCTCATGGAGTGGGGTCTTCCCCAGGCTCCCTCCCCATTGCATCTTGTGGCTTCTGGAAGAAAACCTGCGAGTCCTACTTGATTGACTCTTCTTTTTCTCTTGTATCCCAAATTTGATCCATAAACAAATTGTTGTACCTTCGAAGTATATTCAAAATCCAAACCCTTCTCCACTGGCCCACCTCTGTTACAGCAACAGCTCCTAAATGGTCTCCCTGTTTCTGCCTTGCCTGACCCCCACCCATTCTCTACCCCCTACAGAGCAGCTGGAACCTGCTCTAGCATGCTAAGCCAGGCCATGCTCCTGGCTCAGCTGCCCTCCGGGGTACCCGCCAGCCCCTGACTCAGTAGCCACTGTCAGACTCCAGTTTTAAAGGACCTACAAGATTGGATGCCCTCCCCACCCCTTCCTCTATGGCCTTGTATCCTACACTCTCCCCATCCCTCGCTTGGTGTGTGACCTCACTGGCCTCAGACACACCAGAGCCTCTGCACTTGGTCAGAGGGTGCCTTCTCAGCAAGGCCTTCCTTAAAGACCCCACTTAATATCACAATGCGTCCTCAACGCTCACCGCCCCCTTCATTACTGTTCCCACACGCTCATCACCTACCATCCTGTATATTTTATCATCCGGCTTTCCCCTGGCCCCCACGTGGGCAGGGTCTTGCTGGTTTTGCTCTCTGCTGTGCCCTGATGCCTGGGACAGTACTAGCATGTTGCAGGGACTCACACAGCTACTGAATGCACGAATAGCCAACGCTTTTAAAGCTCCTCCAAGAAGGGTTCATCTGTACTTGAACCTGCATTTTAAAAGGTGGGTTAAAATGATTAAACATTTTAGGAAGTTTTTTGGGCATACTGAAACAAGGCTTGTTTAACAGGATACTTCATGGCTTCAGAATTGCACTGACCAAGTTTATTATTTTAGCTAGCTCAAAATGTGTATGTTCCTAAATAAATGGAAGACATCCAGTGTTCACGGACTTGGAAGACTTAATATTGTTCACATGGCAATTCTCCCCAAGTGATCTACAGAGTCACAGCAATCCCTACCAAAATCCCATTGGCTTGTTGGCAGAAATTGACAAGCTGATCCTAAAATGCATATGGAATTTCAAGGGATCCAGAATAGCCAGAACAATCCAGCACAACAAAGTTGGAACAACAAAGTCATTTCCCCATTTCAAAACTTACTACAAAGCTACAATAATCAAAATGTATGGCACTGGCCTAAGGATAGACAGATAGGTCAATGGAAAAGAAATGGAAGTCCAGAAATGAAGCCATCTACTTATGGCCTACTGATTTTCAACAAGGGTTCCAAGGCCCTTGGAAAGAACAGTCTCTCCAACAGATGGTGCTGGGACAACTGGATTTCCTACAAAAGAATACATTCAGGACCTTACTTTACACCACACATAAATATTAACTCAAAATGGATCAAAGACCTAAATGTAAGAGCTAAGACATAAAACTCTCAGAAGAAAATACAGGGGAAAATCTTCATGATCTTGGATTCAGCAATGGTTTCTTAGATATGACACCAAGAGCACAAGAGAAGAAAAAGTAGGTAGCTTGGACTCTATCAAAATTAAAAACTTCTGGGGAGCCTGGGCGGCTCAGGTAGTTAAGCATCTAACTTTTATCTCAGCTCAGGCCTTGATCTCAGGGTTGTGAGTTCAAGCCCCATGTTGGGCTCCACGCTGGGCGTGGAGCCTACTTAAAAAAAAGAAAAAAGAAATTTAAAACTTTTGCATTTAGGGTGCCATCAAAAAGGTGAAAAGACAACATACAACCTAAGTGGGGCACCTGGG